AGTATCTCTCTAAGTACTTTTTGAGTTTATAAACATATTCTAATTCTGGTAAATATCTAGACTCAATTCACGTAAATTTTTATATTTTTCCTGAAAATAAATTTGTCTGTGAGATTAGTACCAATTGAATTTTCCACTACAAATCCAATTATTCCTGAATCCCGAAGGCCCTTCCCAGTCAGCCTTTGGATATTGACCAAACTGAGAGTTCTAGAATACCAAGTGCACAGTGTTCCTGAGGATGCACCCCTCGTTACGAACCATTACTTCACCCCGCCCCCACACGATGTCTGGGCAAAAGATAGGATTTGTGTGCCGGTGTCCAACGCTACCATTATTATATAGTGAGTTGCATTCATCAATAATAATGAACAAATTAACAAATCCATGCAAATTTAATTTTATCAAACCCCACCCCTGTAGATGTTATAATTATGGTCCCCTTCAAAAGCGACCCCATCATCGCTCACCCCACTACTGCTAATCATTCCCATTGCTTCTCCCCTCTTATCATTTCCTCTTAGACCTCTTCCAGCCTCTCCCTTTGTCCCTTCACCCCCCCTCTTATATTCATAATTGCCCTCTCCTTATTTAATCTTCATCTACTCTTATTTATTGGAACTAATAGTTGTTATAAGGTACCAACAATCAAATTCAAGTAAGAAATATAGATAGAGTTCTAAATAAAAATTATTTTTTTCATTCAAAACTTATATGTAGCTGGCCAATACCCTTGCGACATAATAGCAAGGAAACTCTTTCTTAGGGCCTGTTTGAATTTGCTTATCTTTATATACTTACAAATATTTTCATATAAATTAAGACAAAATTTTTCTTACATGTTTCATAAATTGTTACTGAACAACTGCTTTTGAAGGCTCTTGTCCTAGTTCCAAACAAGCTCTAAATTGAATGGTAGTTTGTCACTTTGATCATACTCAATTGCTCATAATCTTCAACTATTTCTTCCAATCTTAAATGTAAAAGCTAACTGATAAGTTTATTTTGGTTTTTAAGATTACAATTCACTTCATGTCTTAAATTTATAATTTTTTTTAAATTATCCTTACTAATTGTACACGTTAAGAAAAAAGTTTCAATATGGGAATAATTTTTACTGCAAATTATTAAATGGTTATTTTAAGAAAATCAACACATATGTTTAACAGGTAATAAAACTGATTAATTTTTTTAATTTTTGTAAATTAATTATCTAATTCACACGTTTAAGATTGGAGGGAGTATGTTATATTCATCTTGCAATTAAAAGTTTAAAACAGCTGAAAACTTACATGCCGTTACGTGTTCATTAGAGCAGATTGTGATGAAAAGAAGACGGGGGAAAAAGAAAAGGATGAAAATGATCTTCCTCCCGATCTTTCCGTTGGAGAATCTTGACTTCTTTCTTTAGACTTCATGATTTAACTAAAGTTCAAATTTTAAAAAACACCCATATATGCTGAAACATATATAATGAAAGGGATAGTATAGTAGACAGCATCTAGATACAGGCAATCTAGGACATGGCTACATGCTGCTAATGTTGTTTGATCTTATAATTGATGATTATTTGATTTGTATAATGAAAAAGGGAAAACGAAGTCATGTGCAAAGATGCAGTGACTGAAATGATGGAGCATGACTCTGACAGAGATTAGATTTTTCAGACAAGTTCTTCTGAAATGTCTCTGAGACTGAGAATGACATTATTCCTGGTCTTTAACTTTTCTTCCTCTCTTTTCCTTCCATATTGTTGCTTTTTGTCTGGGAAGGTATAGATTGGAATGTAATGTATTGGAACTTGCAAAGGAACACGAAGATGGCACTGAGAGGCATGGAATATAATGAAGATGAAGGGTAAGGGTGAAAGATTTTTGTGTCCACATGCTGTTTGAGTAAATGCCAAGGATGATTAATGGCTTGGACGGGGGTGTGAGTGTGACACTACTCCGTCTTTATCTTGTGTTTTTTCACTGTGGATAATGAAAAAGCTCATGCTCACACAAGCTAGAAGAAAGCCACATTATGATGGAGTTACACAAGTACTCATGCTCTAGTTTGATTACTCTGTATATAAAATTATTTTAGTACCATATTTAATGTATTATTTTAGGAAAAATCATTTTGTTGGTACATGTACATTTCTTTAATTTTTTTTATCAAATTATTCCATTTTGTTCGACTAGCACAGTTAGCCTTATAACTATTAACTAGTAGTTCTAGTTCAAGGCTGACTGAGTTTTAACAGAGCAAAGTTATCATTTTTTTTTAAAAAAAGAACATAGATATCAAATTAAAAATTAAAAAAAATTACTTATAGAATAGTTTTTCTTATTTTTTTATAACAATTACTATACTAGTTTACAAAATGAGGCTCAATATTTAATTTTTGCGTACAAAGAATCTTTTCCTCATTCTAAATGTATCTCACGAGCATAGTGCGTTGGCCCTGACCAGTAGATTTAGATCCCCTACAGTGTATCTTCTTATACCGTGGTCAGATGCAGCTTTTGAACGAAGATGGATGTGCGTGTGTGTAATTTTATAAACTATAAATGCACAAATGACATGTACAACTGTGTTGCTAACTTACTATTTTTTTTATACAAAAAAATTTAGATGAGTTGGGTTTCGAAAGCTCACCAAAACTAGGACATACTTTCAGACTTAAAAAACACTTAAAGAGATATTTATAGATCACGACCAACAAGGTATTACTAACTTACTATTATCACAACGCTTGTAAGCAATTCACATTTTGATAGTAATTAGTCATCATGAGGGGTTCCCGTCATCCTGAACTCAGCCCAACTAATCCGATCCAATAACTTTCGAAGATCCATTGATTGAAACATATGTGGCGCTTAGAGTTTGTTTGTTTGTTTTTTTTAATTTAATACAAATTTTATATTTCCTTGGTTTGGTCGTTTGTAAATATATGAGTTATATAATTAATTTACTGATATTAAAAAAAATTAAATTACAAATGTTTGTCGGTTTTTCTTAAAATTTAAAATTTTAAAAAATAAAATAAATTTAAATCTTATATTTAAAACTAAAACAAACCCTTCATTAGCTTTTACTCTAAGAGCAAGATATTATTATTATTATTATTATTATTATTATTATTATTATGAGATATCACAACTTAAAATTTAGATTAAATTAAATGGCAACTGTTGTTGGGTGGGGAAGAATGGCAACTCTGTGGACTCCATTGACTTGAATTATTAAAGAAATTAGATTAAATTAAATGGTTAGGAAAATGAGTTGTTGGAGAATGAAGATCCAATTATGACACTACAACCTAACAGATTTAACAGTTGAAACACTATATATATCATCGGGGCCACGAGGGAGTGTCGTCAATGAGTTGTTATGTTATGCTTGACGGGGTCTTTACTTATTAGAGGTAGGTTTATCCTTTTTGGAACTTTTTTGGATAATTGATGATACTCCTCCGGTCCTTAATATAGGACCCAATTCTTGAGTTGGTTTTGATCCTAAATATAAGACTCATTTATCATATTTATCATTTTTCTCTAAATTACCCTTATAGATACTCTCTCAACCATAATCAAGTAAAAAAGGGAGATATGGTATTAAGAAAGATGATTATGGTATTTTAGGAAAAATGTGTCATTTTTCTTATAATTAACTAACTTGCTTAACTTCCTTAATATAATATTAAGGACCGGAGGAGTAATATGTTTGGAATTTGAATATATATGTTGACAAGTGATTGATGAGATTTTTAGCCTTGGCTCCTTCTTTGCATTACGTGGCTGCTTTATCGTTTCACTCATTTCCATGACTTCATTCTCATCTCAATCCTCTAGGTGTACGCAAATTTGCCAATTATTGTGAGCCATTTGTTACATTTGTGTATTTGTACTTTGAGCATAGGTTAATTCCCACGCTATTGCTTAATTTGTCAAAATTCACCTGCAGGAATATCTCAGAGGCTTCTAGCAGAATATGATTTAGTACATACGTCCTCCTCTAAAATGTTCCTTTTCCTTGCTTAGACAACAGTTTAAGCATCACCGTCAGCACAAAAGCAACTTTTCTTCATGCCTTGTCATTGTCCCAAGCTATTTTATGAGGGATTCTCTCTCCAAACCTGTAACCAAAAACTAAATTAATCATCACCACACACACCTCACTAATGTTTTTCCTATATTACTATGAAGGCATAACATTAAACATAATTATCTTTCTAATGATAATTACATTTTCATCTGAATCTCTCCGAATTCATATGGGAACTTGGATCAAGGACAAGTATGGATAATGTCAATACCGAAGACTTTTGATTCCACTTACAAATGCCTGCTTCCTTAAGGCATCGCATTGATTTGCCAGTTAAATTACTGACTCATAGGGTGCCGTAGAGACTTTTTTCGAAAGGGTCCTTGGGGGCAGGACCACTTGCATATGGAATGGAAGGTAGTAAAAAATATCAGTGAATGAATGATAAATACTTTGAGGACACCTATGTCATTTCAGAAATCCCGTGTTATGCATCCTTCAATGATAACTAATTTGTCACAAGAATTAATTACAAAACAACATAAGAATAACTCTCACAGTTCAATATTTACTCCATTCATATCTAACCCATTTTAATTTTTTAAGATTCTGAATATGGTGAGACTTCTTCTTTTTTTTTTTTTTTTAACTACAGGGAAAAAGGTTGAGCCTTTTTTGGGCCGGAGTATATATTATGTGTTTTTGGTGTAAATAATTTGTCTTTCCAAATAGGTCCTCTGAGCCCAATCTACTTTGAAACTTCCATGGCAAGGAGTTACCCAAACACGGGCCTCTGTATGAGGCCTAACGCATTAAGGTGTTCGTAAGAGGCCCAAAGTCCATAAAATTGCCAAAAAAAGAAGAACAAAAAACTAAATATGGACCCTTTTGGCATAATAGGAAAAATGAGCATAAAACACTTGAATTAAAAAAAAAAAAAAAAAAAATCCACCCGCGGCGTTGTCACCGTTTTGGCCTGGGTGTCCTCCCTATCGCCCTTGGACGCTGCAAATTGCTCCGCCGCTTCTCTCAGCATGGCCAAAAACAGGAACAAGAAAAAGAAAAATGGTGCCGTATCAATGGATATGAGCGAGCCATCCACTGGGGAAGTTCCTCAAGGTACTTTCTGTAGCAACTCAGCAGAACCGTGGTCTTTACTTTCTGCAGCAACTCGGCAGAACCGTGGTCTTTCTTTCTTTCTTTCTTTTTTAATTAAAATTATGAATGGAAAATAAGAAATTTGGTTCTTTAATTGTTGATCTAATCGCTTCTTACTTGCTGTCTCTGATTACTGAATATCGGGTGCTCTTGATTTGATTGTCTTGTAAGCCTTTCCTGTTTTATATGAAGCCGCCGTAACTGTTTTCTTGTAGAAGTTAGCCTTCTGCACTTGTTAAACCTTGAAAATTTCCCCCCTTTATATGTGCAGCAATGGACACATCAGAGTCCGGAGCTCAAGGCCCAGTTTCTGGTGCTCCCAGCATGTAAGTATTGTATTTTCTGCGTTATCATTGGGGATGCTGAAGGTTACTGGTCCTGTAGAGAGGTTAATTGGCATCTATTTTCCAAAGTTTCAGTTTTTTAGGAACGTTATAAAATAGTCTCTCAAATGTCATATCCGGACATCGCTACAACAGCGCTGGCTCCACTCCCACTTACCAAGACCTCTGAAGGAAAAGTAGCTTAAGTAATAATTCGTTCCAAAAATGTTTGCGGATATAGTTAATTTTCCCACGTTTTTTCAATGGACATCTGGATGTTTTGGAGTTTCATGCTTCTTCATTCAGCACAGTTTCTCTAAATTTGTGTTCAACTATCTTGAGGCGGGTTATTATCACATTGACAATGAACCATTAATGCATGGTTTTAAAGATGAAGGCTAGGCAGCCCATTAGTCTGAACTCTATAATGTTTATTAAACCAACATTGACAAAACCATATTGAAGGTACCTATACTTTCTCTTCATTTTTAATTTGGTACCTATGTGTTTTTTTCCCTTTAATTAAACATTTAATTTTATCTTTTTAGCAACATTAGCTCTTATAACTTTGTTCTATTGATATTTTTAGTCTCTACATAAGGATTAATGATGTTAATAGAGGAAAAATAAAGATTTAGTTAAGAACAAAAAACACATAGGTACCAAATTGAAAATTGAAAAAAAAGTATAGGTACCTCCAATATGGTTTTCCCTAATTTGACAAGTATAAAACTTGTCATCCGAAGAATTTGGTATTTTAATCACGTACTTTCGTTATATTTGTCCTTCCAGGTTACTGCACACAGATTAAAAAATGCAATAAATATGTAAAAATATAATGTTTTACTAAATTTGTGTTCACCCATCTTTAAATCTTAGGTGTTTTCTTTCTGTAAGGCTGGTGTACGATATAGAGTATTGGATGCTATTTAATCAGCATACCAGTGACTATATTCCATGACAGTTTATTCAGTGACACTTGACTTCATTACTGGTCAGAACGTTCCATGGTTAACTCTTTCCAAACTGCTTGGCAATCAGGTTTTGGTACTAATTGTTGAGTGTTCAAGAGGGAAGGGGACTATTGAATTTCTAGAACCAACCTACTTAAATATCTCTTAAATCATCCCATATTATTCAGTGTGAAACATAGGCGTCACATTCTTCTCATCCCATCTTTAGTCCACCCCGGATTGATGTTTTCTCCAATTCCTAAACCCAGTCGGTCAATCCCCACTAGTTGGTGCTCATAGAAAATGCGGTTGTGCTTGACTGAAGAGTGTGTTTATTTGTTCATGTATCTGTGCAATGAGAGGAGTAAAAGGAAGGCAGAAGAGTTACTAGTGTTAGGGATTTTGGACATTTTTTGTTGGCTAGGGATTGAGCTGGGTCAGACTTGCGTATTCAGCAAACTCATGAAGCTGTGAGTTTGCTGCAAATTCACAAGTTCAGTCAAAATCGCGAGAATCAGATTTTGGCAATGTTCTGGCTGGTTTTCCATTTGTGTTGATGAGCGAACTGCAACTTTAACAATATCTTCACACCTGCTTTTTGTCCTTGCTACTCGACATTCCATTTTCATGTCTTGCATATTATTTCCAACATTTTATGCTTGAATCTTTGTCACCCTTCACTCAAATATTAACATCACTCTCTGACAAGAGTCTAAGAGTACTTTTTGTGTGTGTGTATGTGTGTTTCTCTCTTTTTGAGTTTTTGCTGCTCTGAAATTTGTTTACTTGGTTTTTTGCCTCCTCTGATTAGGGGTGTCTTCTGAAACAGGAAGATAAAGAAAGGAAGGCCTCTGAAGAGATCAAAAAATGTCCGAAAGATGAAAGCAAGAGAAAAAGCTATATCTGCAAGTGAGAAGGCCGCTGAGAAGATATCAAAGAACGAAAGTAAAAAATTAAGAGTTCAATCTGCCAAAGTCCTGTATGACTGAATAGCTGGACGGTTGACATCATTACTTGGAAAAGTTTCTTTTTTTTTTTTTTTTTTGAGGTGAAAGTTTCATACTTTTTGGTCGATCACTGAAACGTATGCATGCCGTATCGTCTACAGTTGAACGCTAATTTAGGGGTCAGTTTTGAGTATTGCAAGTGCCGTTTGGTTGCATCATTTTATGAGTTGCAAGTAATGTGGATTCAGGAAAACTTGCAGCGTTTGCTATCTGTTCTTACGCAGTGTTTTGAATTCTTACAAAAGTATTTTTTAAAAGTATTTTTCTGTAAATCGAGACAAATTCTTTCACATATTTATTTTGTACTACCTCCGGTTTTTAATACAAGACTTTGTTTGACTTTTATTTTGGTTCTAAATATAAAACTCTAATTCACTTTGTCTGTCATATTTATAAATTTTTTTCTAAAGTAATTTTTTTAACAATGATAGTTATAACCAATACACTTGATTAGTAAGGATATTTTAATAAAAAAACAATACATATTTGTTACAAATAACTAATTTAATTTTTTTTAATCTTCTCAAATTAATCAACTAGTTCTAATTAGAATCGGAGGCAGTATATCGTAAAATCATTTCTAAATTATGATTTGGTTCTCTAAACACCTCATGAATGAAACTAATCAAAAACCCTGGTGAAAAAGAACCCGATGTTGAATTTGAAAAACTGTTATTGAAGTTATTAATACCCTGTATTTATCCGATGCTGGCGAAAAATTGCATGGCCTTGTTCAAGAAATATTCATCCTTTGTCAGAAACAGATATTTTTTTAATACTACCTCTGAACCTTAATATAAGATTCTGTTTGATTTTTATTTTGGTCCTAAATATAAGACTCCAATCTATTTTGTCTCTCATATTTATACATTTTTTTTCAAAATAACCCTTTTAACAATGATAATTCTAGTCAATACACTTGATTAGTAAGGATATTTTAGAAAAAACATCTATTTAAAACAAATAATTAACTCAACTTACTTCTTTAATCTCCTCAAATTAGTCAACTGGTTCTTATAATTAGAAGCGGAGGTACTAATTGTTAATTTCATTTAAACATGTCCCAGATTTTGAATCCTTTGGTTTGGGAAATATATTTATTATGTTTATTTAAAACTTTTGATTTATAAATAAAATCTCTGAAAAAAATCACCTGGAAGAACGCGAAAGCGCAACAGCGCTAGTCGTTTGGAAGCTCGCATGCCCGTGCGTGAAGTTGCGTCCCGCACGGTATTCCTATCTTTCTTTCTCCCATTCGTAACGTCATTAAATATCCAGTGGCATTACTGACGTGCGCTTCGAGGAACCGCTAGTATAAATCAACGCACTTCACTCTATTAACAATTTTACCGAATTGAACTCTTTCTTTAGAGTCCCCATTTGGTCGTTGAGTAAGGGAGGGAAATTGAAGTGAGTGAGAAAGATAACGTAAGAATTTTTATTTTTTATTTTTAAAGCCTGCAATTTTATTGTGCTTACTCCGCAGCTCTGAGCTTGAGTTAGCTCCTAGTTTCTCGATTTTGTCGAACAAAAACATATGGGCAACGAAATGTTTTAATTGCCCTTTAGCTCCGATGTTTCTGCTGCGAGTTTGAATTCTATGCTGCCGGGAACGTTTGTCTTTTGTTTTATCAATCTCGAATTTTATTTGATGTTTGACGCAGATGAGTCTCGGTATCAGCTACTATGGAGGTCATGGTCTTCCATCTTTGAGAATATCTAACTGCAATATTGACCAAGATAGCCGTAACAGTAAGTATATCAAATTCTTTTGTTTCATTTTGCGCTTCCGTTTTGATAGTAACCTCTGGGTAAGCGATCTTTGTCTACGTAGCATTCTAGTTCTTCTCCTTGTTTTTTTTTTGGTAGGAATATTTTGTTTGGTTCCATTATGTCTTAGAAAGGCCTGCAAATTTTCAGCTTGTGACATCGCCTGCCATACATATTTTCAGTATGATAATAATTTTAATAATAAGTTCTGTGCATAATTTTGCTCTTGATGGAGATTGGAGAAAGAGAAAATGCGGATGTCAGATCACACATGCGTCATTTATTTATTATCAGGTTCAGGGATAAAAAATAAATGCTAAGGGTGATATTTACCATGTAAATAATATCTTCTATCTGCTTCCTGAATGACTTTGAAGTCATTCTAAGACAGTGCCCTCCCATTTGTTTGTTTGTTTATTTATTCTAGGAAAATCTGTTGTCCCCATGAACGCGCACAAGAAAATTTCCAAGCCTGAGAATCTTTTACCATCAAGTTGGAAGGTTGACAGCACCAGCATAATGGCCGTGATAGGTTCCATCACAGGTAATGGCTTTGATCTTTTGGTGATTGTGCATTGTGGAGTATGTTATCAGATATCACTGGCTGTTGATTAATTGTAACGGTGAGCATTTTTTTTATCTCCATGCTTTTCAGTGGCCAACTTGATTGCACCAGTTGCTGCGAAGGCTGTAAGTACAGATAAGTCTGTTCAGGAGCGTACGTGCATGAATACATACATATATATATATATATATATATATATATGAAATTCATTTTGTCCAAGTCGCAGAAACGTTTTAGAAGACTGCTAAACATCCATTCTACTATCTATATTACAAAATAGACAAGTAGTATTGCATAGTGCATTACCAAACATGAAATTGGAGGGACTACGTGAGTTTTTTCCCTGGTTCCCTTTTGTGGGTATGGACAAATCATTCACAATGAACCTTTAAGAATAATTGCAATAGTTCAAATTTATCCTGTTATACATTTAAAGCTATTATTTGCATTAAATGTAAGTCTAATTTTTTCCTTTATAAACTTATTAGTTGACTTATTAAGAAACTAGTCTGTTCTTTCTACATTCAAGTCATAGACATTGTATACATCTCAGGAATTGTATTTATTTCCTTTCAAGTCAGGAAGTGATTGGTTCCGTTTATGCTTTGGCTGATGGAAGCTTGGGTGATTGGTTTGGAGGCTTGCTATATTCAGCCGGACAACAGGCCAATGTAGCTGTTCAAGATCAATTAGGTTCTCTCAGCTTCACCAGGTACTTCATAAATTATCCTATGCATTTTTATTATCGATTCCAACACCCCCCCGGGGCGAAGATCTGATGCTTATGCTTATGTTTTCTTCTTTGCTGCATATTCTTATTTGCAGTTTAGCAGTAATTTATGGGGCGGGGCTTGTTACCAGCCTTTCACCCTGTACACTAAGTGTCTTACCTCTAACTCTTGGTTACATTGGTGAGTTTGCTTCTGTTATGCACTCAAAATACGAATTCTTTTCAAATGCCTAAATTTTTGAATTGGAATCTGGCAGGGGCATTTGGGTCTGGCAAAAGCAGGGCAGAGGTAAATTACCTGGGTAGTTTGTTTCAGCATAAAAAGGCTCATTCTCTTGTTCTTCTTACCTCACTTCATTGCCTAAGTTGAATGTTATTGTTCTCAAAGGCCTTCACTAACAGTGACAACTACAAGTGTATCCAAGATGTTGGCTTGTGCTTTGCATCGTTTCCTCCACTTGTCTGAATTCCACTTCATGATTGCACGCACATGAGCAACAGGTATATTTCTCACTAACAGTTCTGTCTTCTTGCTGACAGGTTATTGGTGATTCTGTGGCATTTTCTTTAGGTCTTGCCACCACATTAGCACTGTTGGGTGTAGCAGCATCATTTGCTGGAAAGGCTTATGGACAGATAGGCCAAGGACTACCTTTGGCCGCTTCTGGTCTGGCAATAGTTATGGGTCTGAACCTTCTTGAGGTATCTTTTCTTCATTTTCACCTATGTCTATCTGTTTGATTTTAATGGGTTCGAGTGGAGGGCCACATAAAGGTCAAACTATCACATAGAAAAAACAAGAGTTGTTTTAATCTTGACCGCTCATGCAAGATCTAATGATTAGAATTTGCTGCTCTAACGCTTATGACTCATTTATATATTTAGATGTTTCACAATATGTTAATCTTTTGAAGAATTTCACTGGCTTAGACCTGCCTCAGCAAAGTCTTGTGAAGTTTATTGTTGAGAGAAATTTTATACTCAGAACTGTTATGATCAACATTATAGATTCTCAATATTTGGACCATTTTTTGTCAGTCACCTTTAATTCTGGGCATGTTCGTTGGTGCCCTTCAGATTTAGTTTGATATTATTGGTTTTCTAAAGTGAGAATCCTTTGAAGCTAACCAACTTAAAAGATTTCTCTGAACAAATGTTCTACTCTATTTTTTGGTTCTCACCTTGAGCAAATTTTACAGATCATTGAATTACGGCTTCCCTCATTTTTTGACAATTTTGATCCACGTGCAGCAGCTGCCAATTTACCATCAAGTAAGTTGATGATCTTACATTGAATTAGCTTCTTCAATATGCATTTTCATGCAGAGCATATGAAGAAATGATCTCATTTAGGTGTGCAAGCATATCTAGCTGGGCTTACCTTTGCTCTAGCTGCCTCACCCTGTAGTACACCTGTGCTGGCTACTATTCTGGGATATGTTGCTGCGTCAAAGGTATTCCACATTTCTTTTGTCTTGATTCATATGCTGTTTACTATGCATGTTACGTCCAATCGCCCCCCTCCCCCACTTTGGCCCCTCACAACAAAAATGGGATTTAACTTCCGAGAAAAAGCTTCAGCACTTCAATGTGGTAGGTTACCAGGGCCCAACATATGAAGGAAAGAGCTCTTCATTATTCCTTGCTGACTACATTGTCTTGCAGGATTAAAAAGAACCAACAACTATCGTGTGGTACTTCTGCTTAGTCAGTGCAAATAACTTAGAAATGGTTCAAGTGCATTAATACCATGGCTGACAATAAAGAAAAAGTGCATTAGTCGTGTAAATGTATCATATTATAAATATCCATTTAATTACCTACATGCACATCTCATTTATTTATTTGCTTAAATTCAGTATACTCACATCGTCACTCCTATGAAAATGACAAGAACAATATTTTCTTCACAGGATCCAGTGATTGGAGGTAGCTTACTTTTGACATACACAACTGGTTATGTTTCTCCTTTACTCTTAGCTGCTTCTTTCGCTGGGGCATTACAGGTTCGTATATGATATTCTGGTTTATAAAATAGTCTTAGGTGGCATTTTGTCTGAGAGCATTCTTATATTCAAGTACTTCGAAAACTATTTGCATAAAACTAGCGCAAGAGAAATGTGTAAAAATTAAATACTTCAACATACGCAAGTATGCAACCCAGAAACCTTCGCATTGTTAGATCCGGTGCTTAAATACTTGGTAAATACCAAGTCTTTAAGTGCTTGGAAAGTCAAAATATCTGTGTACAAAACAACACTTTAAGATCTGTTAGACCAGGATATGCTGTTGAAAACTGAATTTCTTATCCAAATGTGGATTGGCAGAGCCTGCTTTCATTTCGCAAGTTCTCAGCATGGATCAATCCTATGAGGTAATATTTAAACTTCGAGGGTCAGAAGAGGGAGAGAACTCATCATTTTTTCGGAACACTTTTATCATTAGGCTATTACAGTCATTGTCTCACACCTACTCTACTACTTTTGTTGTTTCTGATGCGCATTTCAATTCTCTTGTTCCACAGTGGAGCACTTCTGTTAGGAGGTGGTCTGTACACTTTCATGGATAGGGTATTCCCAACAACAATGGTGATGTAGAATAAGGAGGAATAAACATCTCTTAGGTCGTAAGTTCTCAATGGATTTGGATTGTCTAGAATTAAAAATTTACAGGGTCTTTAAAATAACAGAGAGAGAAAAGAAAGAATTGGTTTTAAAAAAAATGAAAGTAAAAAAAAAAAAAAAGAAGTATCCCTAGTCTATACTTTCTCTGTAACTCTCTTATTTTAAACACACATCAGCTTAGGATTCTGATACTGTGTTCTTTTACACGAACGATTCAATGTATATTTGTTCCACATATTCAATATATAGAAGTACACGGGACGGATTAATGTCACATCCTCTTGATCTTTCACCAGGCCATCCTAGCGATTATCCCCCCCCCCCCCCCAAAAAAAAAAGTTGAGATTTACTTCATATTGTATGTCACTCAAATTTCAATTCTTAAATTCCTTGGACAATTTATATTCAATTGAAAGTTTAGTAGAAAAGAAAGAAAGCTTAGGTGTATCTCTTCATATTTGCGAAGCTATATGTTGTTGTGTGAATTGACAGGGACTAAAGATGCTGGATCTCTATAAAGATGGTGCCCTATCAACACCACCTCTAATGTTTTTTTGAACTCTGATGCCCCTGTTTCATAAAAGGGTCTTAGAAAGTCTGGCCAATATTATCTTCCATCAATAACTATCACAAAAAGTCTCAAATCATATTGACAAACTGTTAAGTCTGTTGACTATTCTATTACCATGTTGATAAAAGAAGAGTATACCATTGTCAGTAAAATTGCGAATTAACTTACCTGTGCTGTGCATCACACAGGTGCAAGGACTAGTTAATATAAAATACAAGTTATAGAAAGTTCTAAATTTATAAATAATGCAATTTATTTTTCCATTCCTGTACAATAGGCCTAATAATATCTGGTTATCTGGGAATAGAAGACTCATTAAATGAGTGTTAAATTGTGTAAATTTAGCTGGTAGATTTTCAAGTTGCGTTTTCAGTAATTTTACCAAAGTATATGGAAGAGCTCAATGTTCAATTATATGGTGTGGCTGTGCAAGCCTCATTGGGACCACTACTCATGTGTGATAACGGATAAGACAGCATTAACGATATTTTGGCCTGAAATTTATGAAGATATTGAGGATAGTTTTTCATGTGGTGCTGAATTGGTTTCCAGATTTAAAGTTCCCACTAGTCCAACTAGGTCTGCTAGCCGCAATAGAAAGTAGGTTTACTGTGAAACAAAGTAGGCATACTTTTTCACTTGAAAAGGGCAAGAGATAACTATGAGGTAATGCGGCTTCGTTATTGTGAGTTCGGCCTATTCTTGTCCAGTAACCATTCTGAGGGAAGTATGACGTATGGCCAAAGGGGAAATTATTGCTATTAGGCAACTACGCTTCGCTTCTCCAAGTCTCATTTAGATGAGAAAAATGGTTCTCATGACGCCCCCAAAAATTGCTCGAGAAAAACAAATAAAAATTAAATTCACACATGCCCCTCTCTTTTTTTATTTTTTTTATTTTTCTTGTGGTTTTTACAATCGGTTAAGGTTTATTAGCACCCAAAGTATTTTTTAGATGCGTTTAGTATTCTGTAGTATTTTTTTTGCCTTGGTGTTGGATTCACCAAAAATATATCTTTGGGTGCTAGGCATATCTAAAAAAATATCTTAAAGTGTTGGATGTATCAAAAAATACTTTACGGTGCTGGATAACTTAAAAAAAAAAATTTGATAATATTGGATACACTACAAATAAAAAATATTTCAAGATGTTGAATACACCTTAATTTTTTTTAATATTTAATATAATTTAAATACATGCACATTAACATGCCAGCATCAGTCTTGCATTCAGAACTTTATCCAGACATGTTATTAGTTAAGTAGCTGTCTGTCAATTTTTTATATTGATGAAGAAAGGAAAACATGAAGTAATAGACAGCGTAATGAACCAAAAGATAATGTTTTCTGAATTTTAATATTTCATTTTCCTTCCCTGAGAAAACCTGAGAAAACCAATGTTCCAAAACAAATGACCTCGTCCATCAACTAGAGCATTGAAACCCAATGTGAGAGAAATAAACCCTAATTTTCCAATAATAATCTACCAAAATGGTAGCTTCTTCATTTGGGAAAATAACAAAATCAAAGAGGCATGAGAAAAGGCACGACTTCGTATTTCTTGATAACGAGACCATTGGAAACACATCATAACGGTAAATCGATCATTTCGCAGTACTGCCTCTCTGTAAACTCTTTTTTCCCATAATAACCTACCAAAATGGTAGCTTCTTCACTTGGGAAAATAACAAAATCAAAGAGTCACAAGACAAGGCGCGACTTCTTTTGTTTCTTTTTCGGATAAAAAGACGATCGGAAAAACATCACAACGGTAACGTCTCAACGGGCCCCACTATTGATCATTTCGCGGTACTGCCTCAACGATTCCTGCCTCTGTAACCTCATCTCCTCGTTGAACTTCCTGATGAAAGCCTCTACTCGTCGATTCAACTCGTCCTGACTCAGCGACGGTTCTTTCCTCATCTTCGCGGATCCCGGCGACGAACTCGCCGATGAGTTATTCTCCTTGTAGGCTCGGCTTTGCTCGCTGAACGTCTCCGACTTCTTCATCAGTTTCGAATTCGGAGGGGTACACCCGTTTCGGTCCCTTAGCGGCGTATCGTTACGGTGGTGGTTTGAGTCCCACGTGTCGGACTTCTTCAGGTGCCTGGTTAACGGCATAGCACGTCCCTCCGTCATCGTCCTCCACGTACTCTCCAGCGTGTCCTGCCGCTTCGCCTCGCCACTCCCAACGCCGCTTTCCCACCTGGACCACGTTTCAAGGTTGCCGTTATTTCTTTTGCACAATGTTACCGTTATTTTATTGCCCCTAAAAAAAAAAATTCGGACCGTTGTGTGTGTGTGTGTTTTTTTTTTAATTTCAAATTTCAAAAACCTGTATTCTATTCCTGTTAAATGTACTTGTACGTCATTATTTGGAACTTAATATGAAGAATTATTTTCCTGTATGTTATACGATTTTTTTAAAAAAAATTTTCTACTCCAGATCTCAAAAGTAAATGGCGACAGAGAAAGAGCTACCTTGGGGACTAGCCTTGGCAGCCTTCCGGTGGCCAAACCTAGCGGAAACTGGCGATCTATCGTCGTCACTAAGAGACGAGAAAGCCAACAAGTCCCTGCTCTGCATGCTTGTCATTACAGAGCTCGGCGCGTGAACGGAATCTTCGTTCGCGATTTCTTCATTTATGATCTTCGTCTTCTCCCCATTCGAAATCCTTTCTGCTGAACCTCGGGAGCCATCTCCTGTACTTTCCAATCGTGAACGTAACCTTCCGAAATGACGCAGCTGAAGGCAGCGTAGTCGGTCCGTAAATCGCTGGAGATCATGTCCGCCTCAGAAACCGCTTCGTTGCCCACGTTGTAGATGGCATACTCCGGACGTATCTCGCCGGCCATTTTGACTTGATCGGTTGGAAGAACGACCGGTGGATCTGTCGAGCGAGCTTGATCATGGAGCTTGTGATTCATGAACTTGGAAGAGGCGGCGATACTGATGATTATGCAGTTGACGAGAATGTATAGGTAAGGAGGCCTTAACCATGTGAGGAAGAAGCTCCAAATGTTAGGAACATCGGAGACGATGAAATCCGAGACCAGAGGAACAGAGAACTTCAAAGTCACGGCCAAGGACATAACGCCAGTGGAGAATAGCACCACTTGAGGGAGAGGACCCAGTTCGAGAAAGAAGCCATTGGTAACGGTTTTTTTCTTGGCGAGTGTTACAGTTGTTTCTCCGGTGGCTTCAGTACTACTAGATGGCAGAATTTATGGAGCATTGAGGGAGAAATGGAAATTTGGAAATGGAAGTGAAAGAGTGGGGCAAAAATATATAGGGGGGAAATAAAGCGATGGAAACAGAACGGTGCGTTTTATCAGGAGCGTTTGATAAGGACGCTTAAGCTATTCATTTTCGAAAATCGTGCAGCATGTGGGGCTCGGCATTATTCTCTTCTGGTGGGGATTGAACCTTTTGGTACGGTCTCGTTCGAGGACTACTGTTTTTTCCCCTCTTTTTACTGGAAAGTGGGAGCAGTTTTTTTTTTTTTTTTGGACCGGAAAAAAGTGGGTGCAGTTGGAAGAGGATCAGATGTATATTTGCTATCACTGAACTAAATATTGTAAATTAATTTGTGATTTACATAGTATTTTAAAACATTTTTTTAGTGTAAGTTTTTCCTGAAAAATTTTTCCAAGAACTTTAAAATTACGGATACTGAGTGTTATTAAAAAAATAATTTATATGTACAAAAAATAACTTTCAGATGCTATTATTATTAAAAAAATATTTTGTAGTATTAGATAAATTAAAAATTAATTTAACTAAAAAATCTTTTACAGGATACAAATTGAAACAAGCTATCAACCACTACTTCTTAACTTGGAATGGAGGATTAAAGATATAAAAATTTTCTTTTGAAGTTATCAGCTAGCTTAGCTAGTTGGTCAGTAAAAAGATTTAAATTCTATATGTAAAAGAGGGGGCAAAGACAGCTAGCTGCCAATCTTCTTGAACAAGATCAGCAAACGGGTGGTTAATATCACACTCAGCCTTTTGTAACATGGCTTATGGCTTCAGCACTATCCATAAATGCCTCAGTGCTTCTTAATTCTTAAGCCCTTAGACCAGCAAAAAGTAAGACCATGAGTAAGCTAATAATTTCAGTTATGGTGGAAGGAACAGAAGAAATTTTGCAGCTACACCTACTGACGCAGTAACCTGTTGCCTCTCACATTCACAATTCTAAATACTGCATTTTTAAAAATAGTATATATTTAAACTTCTGAAGTATTCATATAATCTTAACCTTCCATTTGATTATTGAACATTCACCTCGTACTTAAAATCTGTTTGATTGCCACAGTTTTGGATGGATTGCATCAGAAGTATCACACAGGAATTTTATTAGATATTCAAGTTCCAAGTTATTCGAGGGGCAAAAAGAATTCATTGGCCAAAAAGAAAAATGCAATTGAATTGAATCATGCTTCAACTTTACATGGAAAATATTAGAATGAAAAAGTTATGCTCACTCAAGCCTACCAATATTCAAATCTAATCCTATAAACCAAACATTATATTATTATTATATATTAAAAATAATTTAGTAAACACCTGAACAAATAATCAATATACTAATTTCATTATTGTGAATACACATTCTACAAAATAAGCGACCACTCGACACGACAGGAAAAAAAAAACTGAACTATTCTCTATGAAGCGAAAGCATTCTACAAATGGCTCCCCAGCTCAACAGAATCTGGAGGAAAAGAAAGAACTGCACTTTCATTTGATTTAAACTAATTCTATACGATATATGACATAGTTGAAGGTGTCAAGCAAAAGCCTAATCACTGTTTGGCAAACATCCCTTGCGTTAAAGAGGAGAAGTCATAGTCCTTTGGCGCCTGTGAGGAGGTTGATGGCGACATTGAAGCTGCTGGCGGAGCTTTACTCGCTCCCATCGTCGTGACACCATTAACGGGTCTAGCCTGTCCCATTGTATAGAAACTGAAAAAGATCAAAAGAAAAAGGCAAGTTGGTCAGCATAGGATCTGAATTGGGAATAGTAAAAAGTTATGTATTGGCTTGAAAATCACAAGGGAAGTCTTCAGTGAATTTTTTCCTTTTGGTGACAGAGTCTTCAGTAAATTTTAATGTAAAGGGAGGTAACCAGAATAGATGAACAAAGATCGGATGTTATATCTTTTCTAACCTATAGTCCTTAAATCCATGGCAAGAGAATGTCCGATTGGCTATCTTTTGGAGGATGGAGTGTTTTCCAGTTCAAAATCATATTCAAAGCAGTGTAGGGACCAGCAACACTATCAGTTGACATGGTTTAAAATTTCTTCAATAATGCTAATGCAACAGCCTCAAATATAAAGAGGATACAAATGATAACAAGGTGCTGCATGAAGTCTTTATGACAGGAAACAAAACCCCTAAATAGCCTTTTTTTTTTTTTTAAGTTTTTTTACAGCAATCAGCAAGCAACGAGCATTTATTGAATTTTTGAAACTATAATGCCTTCTAGTCAGTAATAATCAGATCAGAGTAATTCTGAATTCTAAAAATATCATGTACCATCCAATCCAAGTCAAATTCTTATGAGTGAGGCAAACTCCAACTCACATGGCTAAAAGTAAACTAAGCATAAGCAGTAACATACCTAGATGTTGAATACTGCACAGAATTCAACGCAGGATTTGCTGGAGTCGTGCTCCTAGTCTAGTTCAGAAAAGAGATATTTAGTTTCTGAATAGATAAGAATGAGCTAGTAATCGATTATTTCATACTTCCTTGTGTCAGTACCTGCATCAGTTTCTGCAGCTCTCCTGACCAGCCATTGGCAATACTCCGGGAATTGGGTAACCGGCAGTGGGCCAACTTGGGACAGGAATATTGGATCCATTCAGTCCGGGTTGTTGCATACTACCAGGATACTTGGGGTTCCCACCAGCAGAGTGGCTGAAGCAGCCATTAGAAGGGACTGTTGCTGTGCAAGCATGGCAAGCTGTTGCTGGTGCGCAGAAAATGGAGAGACCATGTTGGACTGCAGATAATCAATTCAACATGTCAGACAAATCATACCCACAACAAATTTCATAGATGCTGACAGCAAAAATTCATTAATGTGACAAGACTACTAGAGATAAAATACGGCAATAATGGAAAAATTACCTAACAATAACAGATATCCTACATTCTTTGCTTAGGCTAAAAATACACAGTTAGCAAAGAAGCACCATAAGTAGTAAGATTAGGATTATTTAGTGGCTTGTTAAAATGCGCTGCATACCTTTTCAAAGAGGCTCATGATATCATTCTTCAAATCTTTCGGAGGTTTTTCTGGAACTAAAGGAGTCACTGAAGGTGAGTCCTTAAATAGATCCTCAATTCCAGAATTAGACTTGGGAGTGCTCTCCACTGCTTTTGTGGAACCAGTCTTCCCAGTTGTCGATGCTTCTGCAGCGGCTGAAACAATTATAGTAAGCATAAATTGCCTCAGCACAAAATAAGAAATGGTCTCTCCAACGCATAAAGGGTCATTTCAAAAAAAATATTCATAATCACCAGAAGAATTTGAGACACCAGATTTTACTATTCTTTGAAATAGTATTTTTTTTGGTTTTTTTTGTTTTTTTTTTGGGGAGGGGGGGGCAAAGGTGAAAACCTGGACCCAGTTACAACGCCAAAAGTTACAGCTTCCCTTTCCAGCTTCCTCTGTGGCCATTCCTCACTCAAAGCCTTCCCAGTTAACTATCGCCAGTAGTAGTACCAGCTTCCTCTGTGCCATTTTCACTAGGGCCATCCATGGATAACAAGTGAAAAGGTCTGTAGCATAGTCAACTTTTTTGGAGGGGTTATTCTGAGCCACTATCAGCAGCTTGTTTGTTGCTCAGCTTGCAGTTATGGAGCACGGTTCCACTTTCTCTACATGCTGAGGTTTTGCAGGTTTATCTAGTTACCTGCTTCGAGATTAGTTTTTTTAAGTAACTACAGTTTATGGTTTAAATATGAATGAAATGTTAAAAGCTCATGTTAGTTGACCAATATTATCTTCAACAACTATCATAAAAAGTCCCCGCCAAAAGAAATTTCCTAGAGGAAATCTCCATGTTACTTTTAAACTTGTAAACTTCAGATTCTGAAGCCCTGAAAAGGAAAGACTTATCTTTTTCCACATCAGGTGTAAATAATGGTGGAAAAAGCTCCCATAGATACACGGTGTACACAACTTTAGTGACAAGAAAGTGTTAAAGATATTCATTCAATGAGTAGTTAGCATCACTTCGGCCATCCTATTTCGCTCCTTGTTTCTTCTCCAATAATTCCTATGGGAACCCCTACCACACTAAAAGCCTAATTTTACATGCACAAAACCCAAATGAAGTTCCTTAGATGTGCGTCATTAGGTTCAACACTAGATGTAACATGGGCAAGATTTTCATGTTTATTTTTTAAAGAAAGACCAAACCATATGGAATGCAACAAGAAAAGGAAAAGGTAAAAAACCAAAGTGGAAAGTAAACTAACATATACAACAACAACGATTTATACAAATGGAGAATATACCTGTTCAGGTGCTTTTGGAGGAGCAGGAACATTATTTCCTTGTTGCAGGAACCGTATTTGTTGCCTGAATTTTCTTTCTTTCATGAAAAGTGTTCTCAGGAGCAATTGTATAACCATGCCCACTTCTTTCTGCAGACCTCTGCCAATTTGAAGAAGCCCTGTCGTCCTGCTGCCTAGAAGGTGATTTTAGTTTTCCATCCCTCGGAATCCATCTCTTCTTCATATCTTAAAAGCATGCATTGAGTAAAACAAAAGGAAAGTCATCTTCGCTGGGTATAAAACAAGACAAATATACTTCAAACAATAATAATATAACCCAAGGTGTTTAACTTCAGAATCAGACATACTTTGCACGAATAAAATTCTCTATTCCAACTCTATCATAATTTGGGGGTAGTCTGCTTCCCAGTAAGAATTAGCTTTTTCATTTCCCATGGCTATATTTACACAGCAAGGAAATAAAAATAATCAGAAAACTTATATAATTAAAGCAAAGTAAGAACGAAATTACAAATCACAAGCTTATTCATGACCAATCAGATTTCCATACATTGAATGAATGCAACCTGCTCTGGAAGCCAGGTATCCAAAGTTGCAGACCGAACCTGCAGGAATAGCCACTACATAAATAACTGATATAATATCCATATTAGCAAGGCAATTTAACTGAGAGTAACTTTTAGGACTGAAAATTGTGTAAAATGGAATCAGATAGAGCAGTCAATCCCACCTCAAATTTAGTCCACATTAGTATTGATATTTCATTTTAAATGGTAATATTATTAAACAATTTGCAGCGTGACTAGTAGAAGCCCAGGTAGTATGGAATACTGCTCAATGGGGAACTTAAATAGGTGGCTCTCCCCCATCAAGAACTAGCATTTGGACGAGGGTTCACGACCCACTTGGGCGGCTACCATTTGGTATCGCAGCCAATGGTTTGTAGTTGAGTAAAGGCAACCTGCAGAAAGTTCTAACTGGCAAAAGGCCAAATGAAGTTTTCTAGAGCACAGTCATCAGGATGTCATGTGTGTTTGGCAGGCGTTTTGAACCCCCCCCAAACGCATTTTACTTTTTTTGATAAGCTGGGGAAACGCATTTTACTTTAGTAAAATGTGATTTTATTTCTATTTTTATTTTTCATCCCAAACGCACCTGTCAACTTTCTAAGGATGACCACTTAAGAGACCAAGATAGTATGAGATGTTTATGTCCTATAACAGCTGCCCAATGTAGTACTCAAGCAAGGTGATACTCCCACCTCAATAGCTAACTTTTTATGGGAGGTTTCTCAATGAATTTAGGTGCTTATCATTGAAACCGAGAAAGGAATATTGCAGATTTTCAAAGTAAACATTAACCTCCACAAACCCTTACAGATCAAAGCTATAAGTATTAATGAAGGCCCATTCTTACTGGATATCTAGCAATAAATTGAGGAATGAATGCCCCAACAATAGCATTACCACAGAAAGAACGGACATATAGATGTTGCACACATAAATACATACAAATACTATATATACAGACTGAAAATCAAGACTACTTACTAACATCAATGTTACAATACCCTGCATAGAAACCTATATGTTTTTGGATATTGAGTGTCCGAAATAAGTATAAAATTCTAATTGCCGATCAGTTACGAGTTATACAGTCCAAGCAGTCAAGTACTACCAACATTACAATTTGCCGCGACAATGCAGGGCTTAGACAGTAAGCTCCTAGCATGTTGTCCGCATACTACTTTTGAAAATCCTATTTCAATGAGTCTCCATAACAATATACTTTTATGATATCATACAAACTGGGGCATCATTATACACAACATACCTTTGAAATATGTACCCCAAGACTTCGATGTATTCCTGAAACACTGCATGCAGATAAAGATGCCTAGGTTCACAATAGCCCACCTTGGACCTCTGGAAATCAAGTTTTCATTGCAAATTGAGTGAAGATTTCAGAACCAATATAAAATATACTGCAAATGCTCGGTAAAGACAGTCCACTTGATAAGACCACCATTAGTATCTCTTCCTCAGTTTTCCTATTATAAAAAGAGATCCGTATCAAATCATCATTCCAAACAGAGATACATACTTAGCTTTGCAGTCAGCACATTCCCTATTTTCTGGCAGTTTAAGAAGTCCTTCCAATATCTGCAATATATCAGCAAGAAGAAAGAAACGGGGAAATGTAATCAAAAGAGACAAGAATAAAAGAAGAAATAAAAAAAAGTTGTAAATGCAAACATGTTCAGCAGAAGAAAAGCTTTCGATTAAAGTTCATATGTAGAAAATAAAAATAAAGGATCTTGAATATCATTTACACACCATAATATGAAGATTTAGACACTTTCAGCTGGAGAACTCTCTTTCAATTAATGGACATGAAAACCAAGTGCGGTAAACATCTGACATAAGAATTAAGTCTTTAACAATTCAATCTCTTCAGAACAAAAACACAAAAAGTAAAACAATCATAGTCCAAATTAGGTTCCCCTAATGTCTTTTCAATCCCCTCCTTTAGTTTACAGGACTGTAATCTGTAAACCCTCCGCAAGGGTTTGATTCTCATCTAAATTACTTAATCATATAATATTGGAAAGACCACATAAAATGACAAAGAAAATTATGGATGAATTAATGAGGGAAAAGAGAACAAAGATTGAAAATTTCAGAAAGAAGTCATTTGAGGCAGCCATTTTGAAGATAGTTAACAGTGAAGAATATGATTAACACATACTTTGAATAGCTGCGTAGTCAGCATGAGCAATGAAGAAGTAGTAACGCACCCCACCCCCCAAAAAAAGTCCTCAAGACAGAGAAACAGGAAATAAACTAAGCATTATTCAGAGAGAGGAGTCACACCACCAAATAAATGTCCCGATCCAGTCTCACGCATAACCCGAATAATTCATCCCCGATTGGGCCAGAACTAACTAATAACTAATCCAGGAAATGTTAAGAATCCAGATACTAAGACAACTCATTTTGCAAATATATCACAGAAAAGGCAGATCGAACTCTCATGAACCGTATGCAGCAACTAACCCATTTGCTTGCAGCAGCAGCAACCCAGAAATAAGATTAACAGCTAATTATAAACAGCACACAGTCGAGGAAACCAAAATCCAACTCTAGGCTTCCATTTCTTCATATATACACCAGACTATGATCGTTTTCAAATCCAAAAACATCACGATCGGTGACATGCGAATACGAGTCCAAGAAAATTAACATTGCAAAAGACAACTAAAACAAAAAAGAAGAACACAAAATACGTAAAAAGAAAAAAGAAAAACAAAACAAAAAAACCTTTTATGCTTTGCGTTGAGCTCTTTAGAAACGTTGGCCTTCCGTTCATGGTGACCGTCTAAACAACAAAAAACCAAAAACAATGAAGAAGAGAAAGACAAGTAAATAAACAGAAGCGAGGGAGAGAGGAAGATGAAGATCGAAGGTCAAATTGGTCTTTTTCGCAGCGATTCTCTCTCCTCTCCCTGACTCGTCTTCTCTCTGATAATACGCCCACCCAAAAGAAAGAACGAAAAGGTGTCCGCGATGAAGACACCCTTCTTGACTTGGATATCGATTATATGTGCGTGGCTTTTCTTTTAATTTTTTCTAAATGCATTAATAGTAATTAAATATTTAAATTGATAGATAGATGTGACATAACGCGTCCAAAATGATTCATCCTATTATGATTTATCAATAATGTAAGCAATGAATTTTTTAGTTTTATGTTCACTGCCAGAAGGAATTGAAAAATTGCTCGCAAATACGTATTGCAGAGAATTATATCTGATGACATCTAGATTCAAGTACTGATATTTTTTGTATATGAAATTCTTCAAAGTAAATAATTTTTTATGGAAAAATATAGGTATCATTGAAGAAATTATTCTCACATAGATATTTATGAACAATATTTTTCAAAACGAAATTTATGCTGCTTTTGTTTTTAAAAAATTTAAATGAGTTGGATTGAATTCACTTGTCCTAAGACTCAGAATGAATCAAACTATATATTATCAACTAATTATTGGTAAGTTTGTATTTTATATGTTAATAGTTTATAGACGATTCTGTATTTTAAATGATCTAATATTTAAAAGTTATATTGAAATTCAACGAATTATTATAATGGTAAAAAGATTCACTTAAAACTTTTTAGTGATGAAGTTTTTTTTGTTTTAAACTAGAATCACATGATAACTTTCCATTTAATGAAACCC